GAGAGAAGAGGGTTGGAGGGAGAGAGAGAAGAGGAAGCGAGGAAGAGAAGGAGGAAGAGAGAGAGACAGGGAGGGAACAAACACTGTTCCTTCTATTTCTAGTCTCATCAGGACACAGTCCTCTGACTTTGGAGTCAGAGGAATCCTGGGTCTTCCGCTTATTATAAGTGGGTCTCAGGACAAGTCAGCTCCTCTCTCCAGGCTTCAGCTCCAACTATAAAATTAGGGGGTGGGACTGGGTCACCCTGAGGCCCCTTCCAGCCCCAGATGTAGGACCCTGTGAGCCCCTGACTTTCCTTCTTGCTCAGCTGCCTTGGAGTGTGGGAGACAACATCACACCTTCTGTATTTCAAGTTTTATGCAAGTTAAGGGTCATTTTGGAGGGTTGGTGCTTTAGAAAGATAGGCTGGTCTCTTCAAATTGAGAAGGGCAGCAGCCAGCAGCCATCCCCCCATCCAGTCACAGGGACCTTTGTTGTCTCTTTTCCAAGACCAATTCTTTTGAAGGGGGGCCGTGCAAGTGGGGATACACAGGATGGATGGATGTTTCCATCTGAGGTAGCCAGAAGGTCCCACCCAACGAGGCCAGTGATGTTTCATATCTGTCAACTTGTCGAGTCACTAGAAGCTATTTTCTCTGATGTCATAGTTAGATAAAACCTGAGCTATAGGAGTTAATAATGATTGTGTTTTCATTTCTACCCTTAGGAATAACAGGAGTTCTCAAGGAACACAAATTCTTTGATATGTTCTCAGGAGGTAAGCATTCCCTTTCATATTGAAATTAACATTCTCCAGAAGATTGTCTGGTTTGGACTGTGCCAGTGATGTGAGGAATACATTGGAACAGTGATAGGTGGTATTTTTATGGCACTTTCAAGTTTGCAAAACACTTCTTACATGTCATATCACTGGAGACTCCCAACTACCCTGTGAGGGAGGTACTCGAGGTATAATCCTCTTTTACAGATGAAGAAACTAAGGGTTAAGAGTTAAGGGTTAAGCCCAGGATCACTCAGCTAATCAATTTGAGATGTGGCAGGATTTGAATTCAGGTCTTCCTGACTCCAAGTCCAGCACTCTAACCACTGTGTTCCACTGCCACTTAGTGGAACAGAAATTATTTTTAATTTGTAAGAGAAGCCTTTCCCTTCCCCTAAATGATAGCACCTTCCCTCTGACATTATCTCTAATTTATCTGATCTATAACTTGTTTGTCCATAATTGTTGGCATGCTGTCTTCCTTGTTGGACTGTGAGCTCCTTGAGGGCAGGTGCTATTTTTTCCTTTCTTTGTATCCCCAGCATTTAGTACAGTGCCCAGAATGCAGTAGGTGTTTAATAAATGCTTATTGACTGATTGATTGCTCAGTCAGTGGCAAAGCTAAGATACATAGAGAGGCAGCCATGGTCTAATAGAGAGCTGGCATGGAAGTTAGGAAGACCTGGCTTCAACATCTTGTCTCGTACACCAACAAGCTGTGTGATACTGACAATCAATCAATCAGTAAGCATTTATTAAGTGCCTACTATGTGCCAGGCACTATGGTATTTTTATAATTAGCATAGAAATTAGCATATGCTAAGTGTATTAGAGAGGTGCCAACAAAGTGGTGTGAAGGAAAGGGAATGGGAGAGAGACCTTCCACGGATGGGGAGGGGAGGGGGCGCCTGAATGAGGGTCTGAACTGGAGTGGGGCTGATGTGAATTTCAGAGAAGGGGTTAGATAGGACAAATGAACCAAGAGGACTCAGGAGTTGACTGGATCACAAGGAACAGGGAGGATTCTGAGATGATTCTGACATTCGGAGACTAGAGAAGGATGCTGCTGTCATTAAGTGCAACGGAGAAGTCAAGAGAAGAGGCAGGTCTGGTGGGAAGAAGATGGATTCCATCATAGAATCAATAAGCACTTATCAAGCACCTACTATGGGCCAGGCTTGGCACTAAATGTTGGGGACCAGAGAAAGACCAGAAGATAGTACCTGTCCTCAAGAAGCTCACAGTCTAATGGGGGAAGGGACACACAAATAACTATGTCCATCTGACATAGAGATAGGTATGGATGGAAGGAAATCTCTGACGAACCTGGAAGGGAGTCCAACGTCAGCTTGAAGAACCCCCTAGTTTCCCTCAAAAGTATTCCCATTTTCCAGGCAAAGGGATGAGGGTTCTGAAAAATTAAGCGACCGCACTAAGCCAAGTAGAATTTGAACCCAGTGTCCTGCCTCCAGTTCCAGCTCTCCACTTTGGGCTATTCTCTACCTGAGACTTCATCCAAATCCCATCGTGTAAACTCCAACCACCAACTCCATCTGCATCAACACTCTTGTTATGCCTAGCTCTTAAATAATGTCCCTGGAGGCAATTAGAGGTCAAACAATTTGCCAAAGATGACACAGGTACTCGGGTCCTCTGGACTCCCCAGCTGTCCCCCTCCTCACCATGACACACAGTGATGTAGCATAATGTCCACTACCAGAGAGCATTATTCTCTTTGAATGAATGAATGAAAAAGCATTTATTAAGCACTTACTGTGTGCTAAGGAGAGTCTCAGCTCTCTAAGACAGTAAGCTAGCTGCAGAATAAGTTGCAATTTTCCTTGGTAGAGGAGCTTTCCTAACCAATGGTTCCCTGTGCCAATAACATTACAGATTCAATTTTTTAGAAAGCAAAGAGTAACCTAGGGGAAGGTTATATTCAGAAATGGACACATCATTTAAAAAAAAAAACACTAAGAGTCAAGAAAGGCTTCTTACAGAAGTTGACACATCAGCTTTGTCACTAGAATGCCTTGGGGACAAAGGGTATTATAAACCATCGGCCACCTAACCAACTTCCCCCTCAGCCTGGCAGATGGATTTTCTGGATTGCTGGAAGTCCCTCTCCTCCTTTGCCTCTTTTTGTATCGCCAGTGCTTAGCACAGTGCCTGGCACATAGTAGGTGTTTAATAAATGCTGATTGATGGATTGATTGCTTAAATGGAGAGAGAAGCCCAGGGCTCAGGCTTGGGGTACATGCAGGAATGGTGGCCATGACTGTGCCATGGTACATCAGTAAGACGGGCTGCCAGAAATACGGATATGCACCCCAGCCAAGGGAAAATGCTTGGCACATGGAAAGCACTTGGCCTTCCATCTGTTAATGTAGAAAGGTTTCCTTTCCTCAGAGCTGCTGAACTTGACTTTGACTCTCTCAGCATCCTTCACGTTCTGCATTCCCAGGTTGGCCAAGAGTGGGAGAGGGGGGTGGGAGGGAGCATTGCACTGCTCCCAGGGACTGAAGAGCAACATTAATTAACCTTAGCTGGCTCCCTTCATGGGCTGCACTCAAGTTTTGCAGAACAAATACAGTCCATTGATCCTGGGGAACGGTTCCCTGCGGAGAGGGACAAAACAACCCAGCCTGCCAAGCTTTCTTTTTCTTGCTCGTCTCTTACAAGAATTGGCCTTGCTTTTGCTCCCTGCAGGAGGGCCTGGGCACCCCCAGGAAGGGCCTGTGCTATCCTTTGGACTCACCATTTCCAACCCTACCACCTCTGACCAGTTGCAGGGAAAGGTTTCCCTTGAGAGAGAGAACAAACAAGCATCACCGTGTAGAGCCTGTGGACCCAGAAAGATGAACCTTTTAATGTGATAAAGAAGTTACCTCTGATCTGCTCGGTATAAAGTTTAAGAAGATAAAAAATAATAATGAGCTAACGTGTAGACAGCTCTTTAAGGGTTGCACAGTGCTTCATGTATGTTACCTCATTTGGCCAGTGGAAGTTAGAAATGTTCACCAATGGGCCATTTTTGGAAAACATTCAAGACCTCCAGATTTTTCTTGATTTGGACTTCAAGGACCTGTGTGACCTTGAAGGAAATCACTTCACCTCTCTAGGACTCAGCTTCCTCATCTGCAAAATAAGGAGGCTGGACTTCAAAACCTCGCATTCTAAGATCCCATGTCTACAAATAAAAATTCATCGGCACTCTCGAGGTCTTTCTTACTGCCAGTCCCTCCTCTAAACTGTGGCCAAGCCTTCCAGACACCCACAACCAGAAAAGTGCCCAGCTGTCCTCTGTGAAGGTGTGGGCTCTGAGGGAAGAAAAATTTTCACTCCAAATAGTTGGCTCGAGCACCAGAGGATTTGAGTTCAAGTCTTGACACATACGCTTACCACCTGGGTAAGCCTCAGTTTCCTCATCTGTAAAATGAAAGGATTGGACAGGATGGCTTCTGAGGTACCCTTCAATAATTATAGATTTGACTCTTCTCCCTTCAGATGATTCACCAGCATGGAGGTAGTGATCCGATGGGGGCAGATGGGGATGGAGAGTTTTAAAATACGAACTTTTCAGCTAATAATACCTGAAAGTAATAACAGGAGTGTGATTTTTAAAAAATAGATATTTCCTTCCCACAGAGACAAAGAGGAAAATTGTTTCCAGAGAAGAACAGTATTTACTTACTTGTATAAATATTGTATCCCTCTTCCCCGCCCCTTCATTAGAATGAAAGCCTCTTGAAAGCAGGGACTGTTTCATAGGGTAATTAACAAAAGAACTTCAGTTTTCAGAAAGCCATTTGCTGGTCCGAGAAACATCCGGACTTTGTCATCCAATTAGTAACTTGAGGAAATGGATGATACTTACTCAGTTCAAATGGACAAACATTTATTAAGCACCACCTATATGCCAGGTGAGGGGCAGCCATGGTATCAGTGTCCTGAAAAGTCACTTAAATTTTCAGTGCCCCAGCCAACTCTCTACTGCAACAGATATCCTTAACCTGAGGTTCATAAACTTTTTTTTAAGATTTGGACAACTATAGTTTAATATAGTTTCCCTTGTAATTCTATGTATTTTAGCTTGTGCATCACATTCAAATCCTAGTTCTGACATTTACCACCTGCATGACATTTAGCAAATCACTTAAACTCTCTGGGCCTCAGTTTCCTCATCTGTAAAGATTATTCTGAAAAGATCCCTAGGCTTTACCAATCAGTTGGTCAATAGCATTTATTAAGCAGCTACTATGTGCCAGGTGTTGTGTTAAGCACTGGACTGCCAAGGGGTGTCCGATCCAAAGAGGTCAATAAACTGCAAATCAGGCACCAATGTGCATTAGTGAAGAGCATTTCCTCACTGGAAATTCCTATGCCAATGAAATCCAGGCCCAGACCCCTGCCTCTCCAAATAAAATAAAATAAATGTACTTAGTCCTGTCTTCAGCCCTGAGACTATAAAATAAGGTAGTTCCCTCCTTCATGGAGCTTAAAATCTAATGGAGAGAGTCAGGGGAAGCAAATAATTCAATTCAATTCAGCAACACCTACTAGGTACCCAGCATTGTATCAGGTGCTAAAGGTTGAGAAATTTTTAAAACATCAGTGGCAGAGAGGTTTGAATCCATGTCCATTGACTCCGGATTCATCCTTTTTTTTCCTTTATTTTTCTTTTAGACTTAAATACTTAAACTTAAATACATAACATAAAAAGAAAAAGAAACATATAAACTTAAATACTAAAACAAATATAAGAAAAGAAAAAAAAATGTGATGTGCGCAGCAGAAAGTAAGAGAGGATTCAAAACATATGGCAATAAATTTCCATTTCAAGAAAGCCTATATAATAAATACTACGCATTGTGTTGAGAGCTGTCCATCTTTTCTTTGCTTCCTTGTAGGTTTTCCCTTTCCTCCCCCTACCCCAGGCTACAATTAGGAGTAGATATATTTATATATAGACATCCTTTTTTTCATTATACAGCTTAGATTTTTTAGCAGGATTTGAAAAAAATAATTGAATTCTGAATTCCTGCCCTCAAAGGGCATTCTCCTTAGTTGTGGGGAAGGGGTGAGTATACAACATTTATGCAAGTAAGTCACTGCCAATACAAAGTGGTTTCAAGAGGCGAGAGTGAGAGAAGGCAGAATGGGATCTGGAGTGACACGAGGATCCCGAGGGCTCTAAGGAGATTGGGAAAGGGAGGCAGTTCTGAGCAGAGGACATCCAGGCAGGCTGCCTGGCAGCCTAAGCTGGGGTCTGAAGGAACGGGAGGTGGTCAGCGCATGCACAGAAAGAGGGCGGACATTCATTCCAAGGATCAGACAAATGCAAAGGATGCTTCATTTTTTAAAAAATGCCAACTGTCATGGTGTGGGGAAGGAACATCTAGGGCTGAGTAGCTTCTGTCAGAAAGGGGCATGGATAAGGACTGGGAAAGCACTGGGAAAGTCCCCAAAATGCCCTTGGAAAAGGAGATGAGTTTGGAGACCTTGATCAAGCTGCCTGACAGGTATAGTTTGCTGTGGCTTCTTACCCTTCACGGGGGAAAAGGGACCAGGCTGGGTCAAGGAGGTGAGATGTCCACAAAGATCTCAGACTTCTTTCTGCTTGATCTGAGGACAAATAGAGTGCCAGAGAAGGAAGAATGATGGATCCTGGCCCAAGGCCCTCCATCCTACAGCCCCATTTCATTTCTGCCCCTAGCTGGGGGAAAAGCCCTGTGATGCTGTGTGGGATGGCCACACATACCTATTATAATTGTAGGATACTAAGGCACACCCTCAAGGCTATGGCCCTGGGGAGAGGGAAGGGATGGCATGGAGAGACATTAAGAGCAAAGACAAGGAATCCCCAACAGATGGAGCATCGTTCATTCTCTTCATCGTCCCTAGGAGGCCTGGGATGGTTAAGGAAAGGCTTCCTAGAAGAACCATCAGCTTCATTGCATCTCAAGTGGGAAGGAGCCTTAGAGGTTATCTAGTCTAACCCACCCCATTGTGCAGATGGAGAAAATGAGGCCCAAGGTCACCCTTAGAAGTAAGTCACAGTGTCAGGATTTGGACCTGGATCTTCTGACACCAGACCCAGTGCTCTTTGCACTCTACCCAACCTGTTCAGTTTGGTTACTAAACATAAGGAGGCATTTGAAGAAACTAAGAGGTCCATCCATGTAAGAAGACTGTTGTGCCTGAATGGAAGCCCAAAACAGGTTGATTTCCTATCTTGGAAATTTGTATTTCTAATGAGACCCTAAAATGGAAAGTGGGAGGTTTTTTCTGTCAATAAGGGGTGGAGAGAAGAGTGCCCAGATATGGGGAAGAGCACAAGCGCTTAAGTAGATAGAAGGTGTGTCTGACCTCTAGCTTATGGTTCTTTTTTCCTCTCCAACAGATATTAACACTTTACTGACATTCCTAAAAGAAATTCCAGAGAGCACCCTAGTACTGGTGGCCTCATTTGATGACCCAGGCTCAAAGTGAGTACAAAATCACTCAGCATCCCACCAGATTATCCATTCCGAAAAGCAGCTTTTGGGTCCTCCCTGGTTCCCCTTTGGGGCTGTCCCTATAAAATATACTGCCTTCTGCCTCACTCTTTGAACAAAGAGTCCCAAGTCAGGGAGCTCCCTCCCCTTCCTTTCCCTTCCCTCCTTTCTCTTTCCTCCCCTCCCCTCCCTTTTCTTTCCCTTCTCTACCCTTTCCTCCCCTCTCCTCCCTTTCCCTCCTCTTCCTCTCCTCACCTCCCCTCCCTCCTCTCCTCTCTCTTCTCCTTCACCTTCCTTGAGCCTCAGACAACTCCTTAGGACCTATCTCTTATGTTATAGGGCAGGTGGCAATTGTAACTTATTGTAGGGGCTGGGGAGGATTTCTAAGTGGGGAGGAGTTCTCAATGCCATCCCTAGCACAGTTGTGTTCTATCTGGAGACATAGAATCACCTGTACCAAGTGATGACAGATTGTATTCTCTTTTGACTTTTCAGATTGAACCCAGAAGCCCGAAAGTTACTCACTGCCTTAGGAAGTGCCTACGCAGAAAGCATTGGTTTCCGTGACAGCTGGGTCTTCTTAGGTGCCAAAGACATCAAGGGAAAAAGTCCCTTTGAGGAGGTACTATCCCACATAGTTTGTCTGAGATTAGGACTAACAATTAGTCTGAGGCTTCCTGGGAGGCAGGAGTTGCTAGAACAGAGAAGCAGGATAGGACGATGAGAAGAACCCTGGAGTCAGAGGACCTGAGTTCAAATCCTACCTATGACACTTAGAATCTGCGTGACCTTGGGCAAGTCACTTAGCCATTCTGTGCCTCAGTTTCCTCATCTGTAATATAAGGAGGCTGAACCAGAGGGCCTCCAAGGTCCTTTCTAGCTTCATTTTTGTGGTTCCATGAACCTTAATAGCCAAATAACAAAGGAACCCAAAGTAGATGATCTTCTAAGTCTTACATCTATATTGGATCCCTAAGAGCAGTTGTGTCAAACTCACATAAAATAAGATACGTAATGGCATAGAATCACAAATTAACATAATCTATGTTGCACTGTATTTTATCATTTTGTCAAACACTTCCCAAAGTATATTCTGATCTGGTTCAGGCAAGGTAGGAGTTTAACACTTCTACCCAAGAGTTTTCATCTTAAAAAACTTGGATAAGGGATAGATCATAGGTCAGGAGAGGGAAGGGTGCTTAGCTAATGCCTGGAGCCAGGAGGGGCAGTTGGGAAACTCACTGGGGGCCTGTCTCCAGAGCTGTTGAGAGGGCTAAACATTATTTAACCAACACCAGGCTCCTTATTCATAGGGCAAGCACAGGAAGGTCAATCAGTCAGTTAATAAACATTTATGAGACGCTCACTATATGTCAGACCTTGTGTTAAGTATCAGACTGTGCAAGTGCCTCTTTAAAATAGAATTCAAACCTACCTGTGAGCTATAAACAAGTTATGTTATTCAGTGACAGGCCAAGGAATTATCAAATGAATCATGGCCAGATGGCAATCCAGTGCATTGGTGGGGGTACTGCAGATGGAAGAGATTGTTAAATGGACAAATGTGTAGACAGGAGCCTAGTAAGTGAATTTCTTCCTTGATTTCTCTTCATATTTGGTGCCCCCAGTCCTGCACCAGGACTGGACTTTGTTATTGCCCTCTGAGGGTCTAAGTTTCCGCCAGTTGCAAATGCATTTCTGAGTGAAATGTTAGATACTTCCTGGGTCAGATCTCCCTCAATACAAATCTTGTCTGTGGACAATTCAGTCATTTCCATGAAATCATTCCTCCGACTGGGACTGACCCTACTTGAAGGTAGAGAAGACAGCGTCTCTTTGGTGCAATTTTTAAGATCCTGAAGGGGCCCTTCTTGGGCCCTGAAATCTTTCCCACATTAGACCAGCCTAAATGTGCTAAATTTCCCCATTAGTCTTTCCTTTAACTGATGGCACTGAAGACCCCTCTTAAAATGGAAATCTGTTATTTGGGAGAGGCGACTGCTGAGACATTAGCACCAAAGTGAATTAGGTTGTGGCTTAGCCACAATCACTTATCAAGGTCCCAAAGACAGTATAGCAGAAGATGAATCAGTTTTAATGGGGGGTCCTGAGGATGATAAAGGTAGTAGGAGGGGCATTGGGAACTCAAGGTTTGATGATAAAGGTGCTGGAAGAATGAGGTGTTGAAAAAAGCCAACTAGAATTTATATAACACACAGGTTTCACATATGATCTCATTTGATCTTCATAATAACCCTGGAAAGTAGATGTATAATATTATCTTGATTTTACAGATGAGGAAACTGAGCCACAGAGGGGTGAAGGAACTATCCAGAGTCATATAACTAGTGAGTGTCTGAGATAGGGTTTGAACACTGATCTCCCTGCTTCAGGCCCTGTGCCCCATCCACTGTGCCCTAATACCTACCAAGAAAATGTGTGTGAAGGCATTTTCTTTTTTTTTTTTTGAGGCAATCAGGGTTAAGTGACTCATCCAGGGTCACACAGCTAGTAAGTATCAAAAGTCTGAGGCTGGATATGAACTCAGGTCCTCCTAACTCTAGGGCTGGTGCTCTATCCACTGTGCCACCTAGCTGCCCTGTAAAGGCATTTTCAAAAATAAAAAGGGTTATCCCCCTGTATTACCTGCTGCTGTGTGGCCTTGGACGAGACATTGGCTCTCTGAGCCTCCATTTCCTCATCGATAACATGAAAAGGTTGAACTTGTTGACCTCTGAGGGACCTTCCAGCTCTCAGTCTATGATCCGAGGGTCAGGGACAGCATGACATAGTTCTTCCTAAGCAGAATGGGCAAGGGGTGGTGCAGTGGATAGAGCACTGGGCCTGGAGTCAGGAAGACCTGAATTCAAATCCAGCCTCAGATATGGACTAGCTGGATGTCCCTGGGTAAGTCACTTACCCTCAGTTTCCTCAACTATAAAATGGGGGTAATTACAGCACCAAGGTTGTTGTGAGGATCGAATGAGATAATATTTGTAAAATGCTCAGCGCAGTGCTTGGCCCATAGTAGGTGTGATACAAATGCTAGCTAGGATTCTTATTCCCCTTGGATAGCCCCACATCACAGTTGTTGACCAACTTCTCCATCGTCTCTTCACAGTTCTTAAAGAACAATCCAGAGCAGAACAAATATGACGGGTGGCCAGAAGCAATGAGGGTGGAGGGCTGCATCCCCCGCAAGATGATATAGGGCTACCACGGCAGCTCGGGCCTCCCCACAAAGCCTCCAGCCTCAAGAAGTTCTGGGCTGCCTCCAAGAAGAAGTGGAGCTTGGGGCAGCAGGAGGGTGCCAGCCCCCAGGGCTGGAGGGCAAGGGGGAAATAAAAGCAACCATGTTGAAAAGATTTTTCCAGTTGATAATCAGAAGCATCTCGGACACTTTTCCCCTCCCCCAGGGACACCAGGGTCTCAAGCCTCACCCCAAAGTGAGATGAATTTGGAACTGACACTTGTCCATGATTCTAATGCTGCTGACATTTCTGTTGGGCCTGAGGCTTGTCTCCATATCAAAGAGGATGGAGGAATAGAGCAGCAGAATTCAATTCTGTTTTGTTTATTATAGCTGTGACTTTATACCAGTTGTTTAATCCTGTGTCTTGTCTTCTTTGGGGGAAGGGTGAGAAAACTTTTGGACAGATGTCTTTGGTTTTCATTTTTCTAGAAGAAGAGCCTACTCAAAGTGACCCAGAAATCTTGGTCTAAATCATTCATTTGTACAGAACTGTCTTACCAATGGATGTTAGCCTACTTTGGGATGTAAAAGGAGCTAGGAGCACTCCTGGCAAAATCTAGATATTCTTTCTGTTTTGTTTTGAATTGGGTTACTTTTTTGTTTGTTTGTGACCAGGTGTCTCCATCTTGCCCAGTTGGAAGAACCGTGGCCACTCACTGGCCCAATCCCATGATTGATCAAAGTGCAGGAGCTTTGACCTGCCCCAGTTCACTCCTCATTAAGCCCCTACCTAAGGGTCACCATATTGGTGCCAGACCCAGTTTGGACACCCAATCAACCTTACTGTACCTTAGAACTCCTGAGCTCCAACAATCCACCCACCTCTGCCTTCCGCAGAGGCAGGGCCCACAGGTATATTAGCCAACACCAAGCACATCTCAGCTGGATTTACATGCCTGTTCACACCAACCAAAAGTCAACGGAGATTTTCCCACTCCTCTCTTTTCCTTCCCTTCTCTCCACTCCTCACTTTTTGATTTGAGGCAGATTTATATTAGAGAGAAGTCAAAGCCTTTTCCCTACTTGCCATGGCTTTGAAGCACCCTAGGGAAGCCCCAGTGGCCCAATATATCGGATAAATCTTGAAGCATTAGATCCCATGGAATGAAGGAATAAATGAATGAAATTGAAAGCATTTATTTTATTATTTATTATGTGCTAAGTGCTAGAAATACAAATACAAAAAAAGTGAGACAAGCATAAGATTACAAATATAGAGCTTAGAGGCAATCTAGCCCAACCTCATTTTACAGATGAGGAAACTGAGGCCCAAGGTGGGTCAGAGGTGGAATTTAAATCCAACCCTGACCTCAAAGAGAGGAACATTTCAGAGGCCTATCACTATGGGCACAAACTATTTACAAATAAAACTTTTCAACCTTGATCTCAGGTTCCTCTTTTCCATTCAAATGTCAATAATTGAATGAGATTTGATTCAGTTCAATAAGCATTTATTAAATGCCTGCTGTGTTCAAAGAAAAGCAGTATGGTGGTGTGGGCAGAAAGGCAGCCAGGAAGAGCTGGGTTCAAAACCTGCCTCTGACCCATTCTGGCTGTGTGACCATGGTCAAGTCACTTCTTGGGCTCTAGGCAACTAAGACTTTTAAGTTGAAGAGAAGGTACCAGCCAGCATCAGTAGAAAGAGTTGCTTTTCTCACCTAGCAGTTCCCTATATCCTTGAAATCACATGTCCAGTCCATATCTCCTATTCCCATTTGCAAGACTCTGCTTCCTATGGAAAGGAGAAAATTTCAGCTGGTTAGAGCACAGATTTATCCTTCCAGAATGAAAGCCACTAATAAATACTTCAGCAAAATCAAATCTATATTTGCGCTATGCTAGGCACTGACCCTGCCCTCGAGGAGCTTACATTCTACTAGGGGAAAATACCACATATAGTATGTTGTGTTCAGAAGGATGTTGATAGATGGGCTGAAGGGCCTGGAGTCCCTACAGTTCTGGGCTTAGCTGGTCTCAGGTACTCACAGCACCTTGCCTGTGGTCATCTCTCTTCCCTCATTGGACCCCTGTTTTCCCTTGAGTACTTAGTATGCTGTTGGTCTTGTCAGTTTGGGATTTGGGAATGGTTATTGCAAAGATTCAGGGACCAAGACTGACCAAGCAATCTACCACATTCAATAGTCTGCCTCTTCTGGTACAGGCCCAGAACTAAGTATCTACCTACCTGTGGGGAAATAGCCAAAGCAGAGGTCCTCAAACCCATCCACGGTGGAGCCCCCAGCAGAGACAAAATCCTATATCACAGGCATTGCTGCAAATGACGGAGAGTCAGATAAAAATGACCATGTAGCCCAATACGGCAGCCCAGTGGGCTCAGGTCAGACTATCCTCAGTCTATACCAGAAAAAGGACAAAAGAGTGAAAATGATCAACGCTGGGGGGGGGGTGCATTTCCCACTGGACCCAGATAGAACAGAAGGGCTCAGTGACTCCATTTCCTTGTTTGGTTGTGGGTTTATTTGTATCTTTGTGTGTATATGGGGTGTGTGTGGGGGGGGGTGTATTTGAGATTCAAATTCTTGATATTGGATTCTTTCTCAGTAATAATTCCAAGAGGATGCTCTCAGGGAGGCCTCTACTACCCGGTTTGATGGGGAGAGAACCATGAAGAGAGAGATGATTTACAGCCTCTGCTTTTTATTTCCCAAATGTGAAAGAAGAATGTGTGTTTTCAAGAACTCTACCTGGGAGCAGGAGATTATGTTCTGACAAAAACACAATTTTCTTCCTTTCACCTTCCCAATTCTAGAATGGACACCATAAGCCGGGTTACATGTGCTTACATACATGATTATGTGAGGGAGAGGCACCATCAACTGGGGGAATCTGTGTGACAACCTCTCTGAGCTTCAGTTTCCTCAAGTGTAAAACAAAGATCACAACAGCATTTACCTCATAGGGTTGTTTTGAGAACCAAATGAGATAATATCTACAAAAGCATAGCACCTGGTGCATAGTTATTGTGGTTCAGTCATGACTGACATAATAAAAACAGAAACTGCCCCTGCTTTCAAGGAGCTCCCATGTTAAGAAAGGAAGGTAGCACACAAGCAAGAGTGGGGTGGTAGCCACCAACAGGTACACTGGAGAGTTCCCTGGATGACTACATGGGGGAGTGGATTGACACATTCCCAGGAATAACAGTAGAATTTATTTGTTTAAGGTTCCAGAAATGGAAATCTGGACCACAGAGGAATTAGCTGTGGTGGAGGGAGGGAATAAAGGGAAACATGGCTGGCACCTGCCCACAATACTGAGCCAGGGGAGACCCTCACCAATCCAATGCTCAGCACATTACCTGACACATAATTGGCATTTAATAATAGCAACTTATACATAATAGATTTGAAGTTTCATACGTAATCATCTCTTTTATTTCTATTCTACTATGTTATGGAAATGCATGTTTTATTTCTTAAGTTTGGAATAAAATAAATTTTCAAAAGAAAAAGATGAATGTTTATTGATTGATGGATGGATCAATCAGCAAGCTCAGGCTGGAAATTCTGGATCTGAAAAGGTTTTGTCCTCAGGGCATAGTCTCTGGTCTGGCTGGCAAGCCCAAACCCAGCGATGAGAAGATGGCCAGGCCACCTGCCCATTGAAAGTACTTGCCACACTAAGGGGGTATGGAGGGAAGGCCAGATAGAGCCTTGAATGCCAGCCCAGGTCTGCCTGGCTGGACCTAGAGAGCAGCTGAGTGGGTATGGCCCTTTAGCCTACACCACCTGTGTGTCCACCAGAGTTCCATCCTCTGGAGGGAAAGAGATTTGGAGAAAGTGAAGAAAAATCTTCCAAGAAGTTGTCATTTGAGTTCCGCTCAGTAGGTGGAGCCCAACATCAATCAGGAAAAGATTAGACTGTGAAACTCCAGTATGGCTGGAGGGCTCTAGTTAACTGAATATTCTGATTAAATGAGAGCAAAAACCTCTGATATGATACACTATCTTTGGTGCTCAAACCATGTTCGGTGTAATTCCGTGTTTCTTTGATGATTCTCGAGCCTGCAGGGCCTGGGAGGAATAATGCTGACCACCCAGGATCCCAGCCTGCGGCGCTGGGCAGAGCACTGGACTGGGAGCCAGGACACCTGGGTCCCTTGTTCCAGCTCTCCTGCTGAATAGCTGCAAGTCTCTGGGTAAGCAAGGATGCCTCTCTGGGCCTGACCCTTTACTTTTGTCTGACGAGGGAACCGGGTTCAGGGCTGGTCCCCAGCAACACCAGATGGTTGCCCACCTCATCGTGTCCAGAGCTGGACTCAGTCTCTTTCCTCTCAAGTGCACCTGTCTTCCAGACTTCTCTATTTTTTTTTGAAAGCACCACCATTCTTCAAGTCAAGCTGGTTCAATACCTCGGCGTCACCCTGGACTCCTCAATCTCTATTGTCCTACATATCGAGGCCAAATCTTGCCCCTGGGACTCTGGACTCCTATTGGTGACCTCTTACCTTATCTTCTCTGAAACCAAGCCACTATGCCTCTTCAAGGTCATTTCCTAACCTTAGCAGGTACATGTGCTCTCCACTCACCCCACGCCCCCTTTTCTACCTCTGTCCCCCTTTTGGGGGTCTTTCCCCATCAGAATCCAAACTCTTTGAGGGAGAAGATACAGTCTTCTTTTGCATTTGTATCCCCAGTACTCAGTACTATGCTTGGCATACAGTGAGAGCTCACTCATCTCACTCATGCCTCCATCTCTCATGAGCCTACCCATAGCCACCACCTGGGTTTAGGCCCTTACCATCTCTTAACTTGACTATTACAATGGTTTCCTCATTGGTCTCACTACCTCAAGCCTCTCCCCCTCCAGTCCATCCTCCACTCAGCTTCCCCAGGTGATTTTCCTTAGCAGGGATTTGACCGTGTCACTCCCTACTTAATTATCTCCAGTGATTCCCTATTGCCTCTAGGATAAAATAGCTTATTTGGCTTAAAGCCCTTTACAACCTAGCTTCAGACTAGCTTTCTGACTGCCTATGGCCCAGCCAAAGTGGCCTTTTCTCTGCTCCCTTCTATATGGGGCTTCCTCTCCCATTTCTGTGCCTTGCCTTCCCTCATCCTTCCATTTTCTCATCCCTTTCCCCCAACCGCCAGCACCACCCCCTTAAACTCCCTGCTATTTATTCTGTCTACACTGCAGCTTCTGCATATGCACATATAGACTCCCTGTGCTAAAAACAAGAAGTCTCCACTGAGACCTCCTCTCCATGCTTATGGCCATCCCATTTCCTTCCAGGACTTCCTACAGCTGTCTCTCCTCCTCCTTCCTACCCCATCCCTCAGTCCCTCACAGCCAGGGCATTTGAAAGTGAGTTAGTTAGCTTAGTCAATCAGC